GTGTGTCCCAGGGAATAAACCAAAGCTCTGTTAAAATGCAAAGCAGCCCCCCGTGCAGCCATGTGGGGGAATAGAAGCCATATTTTAAGTGCTCTGCCCGTCAGCAAAATGTTTCTAGGGGAAAGCTAATTCTACTGTGAGACTTACAGCTCTGCCAGGCCGGCCGACAGGACTCGATGCTATCAGGATTAAATTAAGGTGAATTAGAGACAAAGAGGCAGAAAGAGGGGGAAAAAGGATGATGTTAGGGCAGGATTTTCGTCCAGCTGGGTGATCACTTCTTAGTCTTAGGTCATTGATCAGAACAGAATAAACCAGCCGGGATTAAAGTAGACAAGCAAAAAACCTATAGAGACTATATCTGTGTGTATATGTGTGTGTGCATTTGCTGTGTGCGGAGCCGTTGTCCTCCGAGGATGAATAAGGATAGCAGCCGAGTGGAGTAACAGAGAAAGTTTGGGGTTTGTACCCTTGAGTTTAACAGGATTCTTTCAGCTTTTTCAAATAATAAAAACATAAGTCAAGAATCAGTATCTCAGACTTTATGGTCACTCTGTGCAAAATCTTTCCTTTGAAGAAACGGATCGTTTGTATTAATAACACCTAAGCTGGGAAATGTACATGAACTGCAGTGTCTGCAGTGTTACGAGTAGAGCAGGGCGATATGACCAAAAATATTTATCACGATATACATTTGAAAATTTGCGATAACAATATAACTGACGATATAATTGACACTAGACAAAATACTGTACAACTCCACAACTTTACTAGTGCAAAAACCCCATCAATGTATTTTCACTTAAACAAGCAGCTGTTTTTTTTATGTGCATTAAAGTTACATAAAAATGTAACAGTGCAAATTCTTTGCTGACAGTTTAACTAAAAGGCATTTCCAGTGGAAACTGGCCGACATATCCTCAGCATAACCATGTATAATATCCACAAAACTTAAAAAGAGGTTATACACACACAATACGTAATATTATGTTGACGCACAGTACGTATCACTCCGCGAGGCTCCGCCTACGATAGCCGTAATGCTCCGACAATCCATCCAGCGGTGTGGCTTCGTAGCTTAGCAAAGTCGTACTGAAACATCTGACAGATTTTCGAGCGCCGTGCACATAAAATCAGTTCGAGGTCAGTAAACACAACCAGAGTTCATACATAAGGCACACGGGATTATAAGGGGCTCTGTCGATTTTCAGAAAAATCAAAGGATTGATTTTAAGTGTGCCGTATTTTCGGCCCGCTAGCATGCTCTACCAAAAATAGTGCTTTGCTGTGTATCTAACGGACGAAAGCTAAACCAGTTCCACACCACTGAAGTTGCAGCATTTTTACAAACCAGTTCTGGTTCATCTGTTTCATTTAACGATCAGCTTTCGCTCTTCTCATTCTGCGTCGCCGCCATGTGCATATGTAAACATAGGTAGTGCGCATGCGCGTTTTACCCATATTCTATCGCGATATTTCATTTTCCTATTGTTGCCCAAAATTACACCGGTATTACCTTGAACGGTATGATATGGCCCAGCCCCAGTTACGAGGCTGCGGGGGTTTGGGCCTGGGTTTGCTTCTTCCTCGTTTCCTGTCCAGAAAAGGCTCGTATTATTGTCTTTATCTTACAATATAAGGCACTTTGTTGTTGTGATTTGGTGCTATATAAATAAAAATGAAGTGAAGTGAAAATTGACTAAAGGAAGAAAACCCCACAAAAAAAACAAAAACCCTGCAGTTCCTATAATCAGCTGGCTCCAAAAGTGAGTTAGTTCCCATAGACTACATCTTATCATGGCTGGTTTTATCTGAAAATGTTTAGAGTCTGCTGCAATTGGATTTATGACACGATAAATAACAAAAGGTGAGTGAGTGAATTATTTTACAACGAGCCTGTCAATCAGAGCATGACGCTTTGATTGACAGGTACGCTGACACACACTGTGTGCGGACCTCACTTTGGCAACTTAAATGAATGAACTGTATTTTGTGTTTATATGTTAATTAGCACTTATTAGCAGGTATCTGTGTGTGTGTGATCCACCAATAACACACACTGATGCAGCACGGCGCAGTTAAAATGCCAGCGGTAAGGGTTGCTGTCACAGTGCCTCCTGTAAATATCAGTAACAGTCAGTAAACAAAGACAGAAAATCCAACGAATGAATCGACAGTTTGCACTGTGGCTACAATAAACACAGCAGCTAGTTATTTTGGTTAAAGGTTAGCGAGTTAGTCATTTCACTCAGATGACTTCATGTCAGTGTTTCTCATTTTAAAAGTATTTAACTGCTGCAAAACTCGAGCCTTATAAAGCGCTTCGAGGTGACTGTATGAATAAAATTGAATTGAAATTGAAGTAATTTCATGCATATTTATTACAGAGGTTTTAATCCACTACAGTATTTGTTCACATGTCATAAATGAGGTCTAATTTCTCTCTGATTCAAACCTTCTTCCACAATATGTCAGCCTTTGTAGCTGCATTAATGAGAGGTAATTAGGCTTTAATTGTTTAGTTGCTTGTTAACTGAATGTTGAGTATTGTAATATGAAGTGTTTTAATTGGTCTCTGCGTGGTGGATCAGAGGTGTGTATCCAGCTTTGTGACACGGTTAACTGAGTCTGTGCTGTGGTTGAGCTGTAAATGTGTGCGTGTATGTTGGGGGGAGGGACATGTGGGTAATTATTCAGGGACTCATTATTGGTAAACCAATTCTAACATTTTAATGGGCTTTATCAGCAGTAACGCAGCAGCCTTCTATCGCGCTCACACACACAATCGGGTATTACACTCTAATGAAAAAGAGGCGTTTGGGAATTAGAGGTTAGTTTAACGTTAGCTTTTACTGCTCCTCATAACACTAATCATTGTGATTATTATACTGCTAGACGTGTGACTCTGTGTGTGTGGCTCCTCAGCTGTTAAAAGCACAGGGCCGCCGCACACAAATGCATGCACGCACACGGATTTGTGTTATGGAAATGAGCCTGTGTGTGTGTGTTGTGTTCTGCATTGTAGCTCAGCCAATGGCTAACAAGCTCACCAGGAAATTAAAAACCATAAATTTTGCTTACTACTGATAGAAGCTCATCACAGACACACACATCGTCATCCCTCTCCCCTTAGCTAATAAGAAAACCAGAGTGATCCGCAGGAGAGTCGCACGAATCCAGTGACAAATTGTTTATGCTGCCATCTAGTGGCGCAGCCGTTACAGCGGTATTCAGGTGCAGCGACAGAGTAGTGCGCGCTGTTAGATAGATTGTGGTTATGCAGTATGTGGAAAAATTCATGGCCCATTTTTGTCATTAAACAATTAAAATAAAGATTCAAGTTAAGGCTGATAGAAGGCAGCTTGCACCCGACGGTTCAATAGTTCATCAAACCAGCTTAAGTAACTTGAAATTATTAATTTCGCTGTTTCTGTTTGTTGAGGTTTGTGCATTTGTTGTTGTGGATCAGCAGCGTCTGGCTTCTACTCGCCTTCTTGATTCATGCTTTTCCACAGGACTTCATAAAGTCTGTTAAAAACCATCTTTTTTTACATGACTGCATCTACAACATTCGATTAGACGTGTGGAGTTTCCTGCAGCTGCTTTAACTGGATGCTTTAACATAACTAAGCTAACGATTCTCCTCTTCCTCAGATGAAGGTCTCTTCAGATGGAGAGGACGATGACGACGATGATGATTTTGATGAAGTTCCAGAGAAAGAAGGTTACGAGCCGCACATTCCAGAGCATCTGCGAGCCGAGTACGGTGAGTTTATGTACACAAACATACGCGCATGTGCACTTCAAATCTACAGACACGTGCACAAATAGTGAGGTTAAGCTACAAAGCTGCTGTCCTGATCTCCTGAGATCCACACGCGTACTCTACAAATAAACGATCGCACTTTAAAGTCCTGGCCTTCGGCAGCTGGTGAAACGCAGGTAATGTGCTTCTTAAGTGGATTTATGTGCGTGTGCCCACAAACGTTTCTGCACAAAGGAGAAGCAGCCAACATGATGAAGTATTTTGATATCATTAGACCAAATTGTGTCTTTAATGAGGAAACATTCATGATAGTTTGTCCATAACAAGCTCTTATTCTGAAATTTAATCCATCATTAATATTGTCCCAAAACTGCACAAGTGGTCGTTTTGTTTTTACTTTGTTTGACTTCCTTTAAAAAATATATTCAAAGCTTCAGAGGATGTCTGCTTTCAGTTTCATTTAAGTGTCTTTAATAAAACTTTTGCCTTGACTGTTTTCTACTGACTCTCAGACAGTAGACTGACAGATTAATGGCCTTCCCTTCATGACGTTATAAATGAAGGAGACATAATGTCTGAACTTGACTCAAAGTCTTGAATTGGTTTTTACAGCTTGTCTCTCGTCCAAACAGATTTTAATGCTAAAGAAGGCCGAAGACAAAAGTAATCACAGAGATGATAAACACGGCCAAAGCAACAGTCTAGTATATTTTTAAATCAATGCACATCCAGCTCAGCAACATCAAAAAGGCCAGTAAACAC